TTGAGTTTTTCAAACCAAAAGGGCCTAGAGTACACCATTTGCCCAGTGCTTTGATTGTAACAGAATTAACCTGGCACAGTCAACCTCCCACTCTGGCAAGAACAGCACTGTGGGAGGTCCTGAGTGCCTGATGGGAGCAGACAAGCCACTTTTACAGTCAGACTCCCAGAAGAGAGGCAGGCACATGAACAAGAACACGCGTGCTCACATCCCTCACTTCTCCTCCAAGTTCACAAGTTAAAGACAGAGTCCGCATTCTTCTGAGACTGGAAAGTGGATTTGGTAGGTCTATATGTACTCCTTTATACAGTCTTGCTCATGGTGTTTTCTTGCAGAGGAACAAACCACTCAAACTCCCAGAAGACAGGATGAAAAGAAATGCCATAAGACTAAGGCTAAGGGACTGAGATTTTACATGTTTGCTCATAAAGTACAAATGCTCCTTTCCTGAGTAAATATGACACAAAATATTTGAATATAAGCTCAGAGCTTTATAAACCAAATCTAAGTTATAATTTACCAAAACCTAGATTAAATTTGATGTAAAACTTGTGATAAGAAAGTTTCTTTTCTTTTTAAATACATGAAGTAGTAAAAGTACCACATTTTCTAAGATCATGGTCAAATCACAGGGTTAAGGCAATCAGTTATAATCTAATCTAGGCCAAATGCTTGCTTTTACCTAATTACCTACCTCTTTGATTACCACTGCAGGTAACAGCCTCAGTTTCAACTTGGTCTGGTTTATGAGTGTTGGAGGAGTGATGCCAGGCCTGAAAGAACAAGGTTTTCACACAAGCAAAAAAAAAAATCCTTAAACTCCTCTTATAGGAAAGAACAGCCCCACATGACAATTTAGTGGTAACAAAGAATAGTACCTGACCTACTCAGACGTTTTAAACATACATAATCAAGATAACCTAAGCCCTTAAATCATGTATTGAAATTATGACTGTAACACAAAGTCACAGGTTCTTGTGGGAAGGCTTCCAAAATTCCCAAAGTGGCCAGAAATTGGGGGCAGAGGCTGGTGCATTATCTTAGAAAAAACCCTTACCTAATCTTACTCTTTACTCAAAAAACCAAACCAAACCAAAACAACAAAACCCCAAAAAACACAAAACTGGTGACCCTCCTTCACCTTCTTTACAGAAAATAATTTTACTTGTTTACTTTTTTTTTTAAAGATTTTATTTATTTATTTGAGAGAGAGAGAATGAGAGATAGAGAGCACGAGAGGGAAGAGGGTCAGAGGGAGAAGCAGACTCCCCTCCGAGCAGGGAGCCCGACGTGGGACTCGATCCCGGGACTCCAGGATCATGACCTGAGCCGAAGGCAGTCGCTTAACCAACTGAGCCACCCAGGCGCCCCTTGTTCACTTATTTTTAATTGCAGTCCATTGTCTGAGGCCATAAGGAATGTGGTCATTTCAAAAGAAAAACCACCAAGCACTATGAGGCTTCCAACGGACAGCCTCAAACCTAACTTCCCTGGTCCTCTGCATGGACGGCAGACAGCGTGCAGCCATGCGGTGAGCCCAGTGCAGGCGGCTTTCAGCAGCTTAGTCTCCCAGCTTCGCTGTCAGTATGGCGGGGAGAGGGACTTCGAAAAGAGAGTAAGGATGTCAAAAGGCCACACTCTAGGGGAATAGCTAGAAGAACCGTATTTTTAACCTGCTTTTAGCAATTTAATGAAAATATTAAATACTAGTTAACCCAGTTTCTAAATCTTTTTAATTTCAGGGCCAAACAGACTGGAAGCAATTACGGCTTGTTCATGGGGGTCTGTGGGAATGCTGACAGTTTTAATTTACATATTAATGCTGAAAAACATTTTGAGAGGCAAAGAAGAGCATTCTTTGGCCTTAGTAATGAATAAAGGGCAAAAACAACAACAACAACAACAACAAAAACCAGGAAAGTGGCTGAAAAGCGCTAGGCAAAATAGTCTGGGTTTATTTTTTCTGTAATAATTTCAAACTATCCATCATTCACTGTAATCAGATACCATCCAGTGGTGGATTTGTACAGTCTTTTATTTTGGCTAAGATGACCATTCTTTGGCTGAGTTGTCTTCAAAAAAGCGCCTAACAATCAAAGTTAACAATATCTGTCTCAACTCCAACTCTTCCCTGGGAACAGCTCATTCTACTGCTGGGTTTCTTCCTGTACCACCCACCTAGCATACCTATCTCACCGCTCACAGGAAAAAACAAAGCTCTGAAACATAGAAATTGTGTTTTTTTTTTTTTTATTTTTTTAAAGACTTTATTTTTAAGTAATGTATATACCCAATGTGGGACTTGAACTTACAAATCTGAGATCAAGAGTCACACACTCTACAGACTGAGCCAGCCAGGTGCCCCTAGGAAGTGTTTTAAATTATTAACTTTTATTCAACAGCCCGGTTGTATGCTTGCTTGTTGGAATTTACTTCTGCTTCAACCCCAGTTCTTTGAAAAATGCAGGAATTCTTCTCATTAAAATATTAGCTTGACCTAAGTATATCAAAAAGTTAGCTGCCTTGGCATTAATTATTGCAGTCTGAAACCTCCCAAGAAGTTCAAAAAACCAGAAGATTAAATATAGTAAAATATGAACAGGAAATATAGTTTGCACATCATTTAATAACTATAATTGTACAGAATTTTCAAATTATTCACTTTCCAATTTATTTTTCTGAATTATACCAAATCTGTGTAACAAAACATATCATATGGCCCTTGAAAGAATTGTTAAATGGTAGATTAGCTCCAATGCAAACCTTTCTGCATTAAGGAAAAGAGGGGAACTCACAGTAATCCTATGTGGTAGGTAGGTCCTACACACTTATCCCCATTGAACAGAAGAGGAAAATGAGACTCAAAAAGATTAAATAACCTACCAAAGGTCACATGGCCATAAATGACAGTGTCTTGCTAGGCACTGCAAGCTTCGCAATTTTTAAAGGAAGATTAATTTTAAGTTGAGTACTAGTCATTGCTTATAAAATGAATACACTAATGTGATTAATGACAAAATATTTCACTGATGTTAGTCTTAGAAAAAGTGTAAGAGAAACCAAAATTAAGGACTCGGGATTCATCTAGGCCCCTTTCAAATACCAAATATTCCTAATTTTCCTTATCCTACTACTGGAGGGGAAGGGGGAATCTTGTTATGGCTTAAAAAACAAAACAAAAAATACCCAAAAATACATATACAGACAGCAATTCCATTCATAGGTATATACCCAAAAGAGCTGAAAACAGGTATTTAAACAAACTTACACAAATGTTCATAGCAGTACTATTTGCAATAGCCAAAAAGTGGAAAAAACCAAATGTTCAAGAGATAAGTGGATAAGCACAATGTGGTATCCATGCAAGGAAGTATTTTCAGCCATTAAAAGATATGAAGTACTTGGAACACTGCATCAAAAACTAATGATGTAATGTATGGTGGTTAACATAACAATAAAAAAATTATTAAAAAAAAAATTAAAAGATATGAAGTACTGGTATGTGCTACAACTTAGATTAACCTTGAAAATATGATGCTAAGTGAAAGAAGCCAGACACAAAAGGTCACATACGGTATGATGCCATTGATATGAAATATCCAGAACAGGTAAACCCAGAGATAGAGACAGAAAGCAGATTAGTGGCTGCTGGAGGGCTGGGATAAAGAGGAGGGCATGGAGTGACTGCCTAATGGGCATGGGATCTCCTCTGGGGGGTGAAAATGTTTTGGAACAAGATGGTGATGATTGCACAACATTGTGAATGTATTAAACACCCTGAATTGTACACTTTAAAATGGTGAATTTCATGTTATGAGAGTTTCACCTTGATTGAAAAAAATATATAGAATAGGGGTGCCTGGAGGGCTCAGTCAGTTGGAGCATGCGACTCATCATCTCAGGATCATGAGTTCAAGCTCCATGTTGGGTGTAGAGATTACTTAATAAAACAAACAAGCAAAAAAGCAGAATAATGAAATGATGATTGACCATAAAGTCCTAGATGAATAGCAAGTCATTTGCTTCTTCTTGATTTGTCACAATTTCAATGAGTTTTTGACCATCATAAACCCATATATAAAAAGTTACCCATTAAAAGTTCCAAATAAGGCATTAATGAAGCTGAGGTCCCTAATTTGTCCAGTTGGCAGAGCACCTAGTAGAGTTTACAGTATACAAGAAGCTTTAAAAATGTTTTTAATTTGTATAAAGTGCAAAGAAAAAGAAAACTGAGAAATACATGAAAAAATATAAAGTGGCCAGAGCCTAGAATATAAGCTAACATACACCTGCATGGGGAAATCTATATATTTAAGCATGCAGAGAAACATAAACACTCAAGAGTATGCTTTTCCTCATAACTTATTTTGTGTTTCTCCAAAAACTGAAGAGTAAATAATAGTTTACAGTCACCACCCTCTGGGTTTCAGCAAAGAGGTCACACATAGGGAAGGCCTCCAGCTGCCACTTTCAATTGCCTCCCTGGTGGAACAATGGCAGGAGGTTAAGTTACTCCAGGAGACTCTCAACAGGGCTCCCATTGTTCCAAGCTCAAAACTCAGAGATACAATGGGCCCCATTCATACGGAGGCCTTACAGGCTGAGGAACGGTCCCTTAGTGACAACGTTCTGTTGGGACATCGAATTTTTCATAAACACAGACTTGCCCAAATATGTGTTAATTAGTTTTTAAAAACAGCACAAAATACAGAAATAAAACTCAATGGACACAAAGTTGAGAGTCAGGACACCCAAGTCTTCTCACCAGCTCTGTCTTGGATGTGACGTTAAGCAAGTCAACTTGCTCTTTCTGAGCCTCAGTTTCCTTGTTTATAAAATGAAAATGATTTCTAAGATCACTTAGAACTCTAAAATTCTATGAACACACATGAGGTCTATTGATGTTGGTACACTATTCACTCCAATAAATGGGGATAAATTATGAACAGAAAAGAATCATTAGTTCACATATTTTCATTTACTATCAGCACTTAAAAACAAGGAGGCTTAAAAAAAACAGGCAGAGAAACTGTTTTCTGTTCTCTCTCTCAAACACACAAGACATAATGAATAAGGTCCAATGGGTGCCTCATCCCAACAAGTCGAGGATGACTCAGGCCAGGAGCCCTACACAAAGCACAATGATGAAGGGTATAACCAGAAGCCACAAGTATGTTTTTCTGACACCTTTTCTTAGGTTATCAATGCATTTCAAGAATCTCTTGATTGCTTTGCAATGATTCAAAATCCCTAGAAGACAAACACCATTTATAGCAAGAATGTGACCAATGTTCCAAGCCTCCACACCATGTCATTTTTTTGTTTTTTCAACCTCAAAACTTGCCAATGCCAGAACTTTGTCTCCGGAGCCTAAGGAGAAAGACACATAATAAACAAAAGGTTATTTCAAATGCATTTACAGTTCCAGATAACAAGGGTAAAATCTATCCCATAGATACTGAAATAGAAAATAAAATGAGCTTCTATTATCAGAGCATTACCCCAAACCTTCCCAGTGCCAATTCCCAATTTTCTTTCCCCTGCACAAACATCTGACATACACGGGGTGATTTATTGCTTACAAAACCTTATTCTACCTTTAAATGCGAAATAGAATATATAAAATTTTAGTTTACTTTTAGTTGACAAGTATTTTTAAAATATTAAGTTATATTAACTATTTTTAAGTAAAAAGTATTAGGAAATAAACCCAGTAAAAGGGATTTATAAAGAAATCTGGTTTTACCTTTAAACTCAAGAAAAGGCCATCCTGTTATCTTACCCATGGTATCCAGTAATCTGGAGCAGTAATGCATGCTCAGCTTTCAGAAATACGAGGGTACTCACCGAGGTCTGTAGAGACTTTCTCAAACTGGCTGAGTATAGCGCCTGCATTTGCTGACAAGAAGGCCTCATCATCTGCAGTCAGCTAAACAAAACAAAACAAAACAAAGCCCAAGGGAGTGGATTCCGATGTTAACAAGTGGTTCTAAGAAACACCATTAAGAATGTCTCAGGACTACAAAGTGGATCACAGATGAAGAAGTTCTGTACCAAATACTTTATACCTTTTCTTTATCCCTGTTATAGTAAATTAAATACAGGTACCTTCTCTCCAAGTTTCCTGAGAGCTGTTAGTATCTCCACTTTCTGCTGAGTGTACAGGCCTCTGTCCAGCTTTCCTACCATGAGATCTCTATCCATCTGAAATGGATGAATGCAAAGTATATGGTACTTAAGTTAAAAACATTCTGCCCATAAAATCCAGCTTTTCAGATCTACCACTACTACTTTTTTTTGGTAAAGTAATCTCTACACCCAATGTGGGGCTCGAACTCACAACCCCGAGATCAAGAGTTGCATGCTCTTCTGACCAAGTCAGCCAGGTGCCCCCAGAACTACTATGACTTTTTTTTTTTTTTTTAAGATTTATTAGTTTTAGGTGGAGAGGGTAAGAGGGAGAAGAACCTTCAAGCAGACTCCTTGCTGAGCACAGAGCCCAATGTAGGACTTGATCACCGGAACCACGAGATTGTGACATGAGCTGAAACCAAGAGTCAGATGCTTAACCAACTGAGCCACCCAGGTACCCCCAAATCTACTACTTCTTAAAAAAAATCCTCTAGAGGGGCGCCTGAGTGGCTCAGTCGTTAAGTGTCTGCCTTCAGCTCAGGTCATGATCCCAGGGTCCTGGGATGGAGCCCCGCATCGGGCTCCCTGCTCAGCGGGAAGCCTGCTTCTCCCTCCTCCACTCCCCTGCTTGTGTTCCCTCTCTCACTGTGTCTCTCTCTGTCAAATAAATAAATAAATATTAAAAAAAAAAGATCCTCTAGAGGACTAATATAGAGAACTACAGAAATTCAAGGCAAACATGCCAGCAACGCAATTTACACAGCTCTAGTAAATTTTTTTTTTTAAGATTTTATTTCTTAAGTAATCTCTACACCCAATATGGGGCTCAAACTCACAACTCTGAGAACTGGAGTCACACGCGCCACTGACTGAGCCAGCCAGGTGCCCCTCAATCCTAATAAATCTTTTTTTTTAAAGATTTATTTATTTATTTGAGAAAGAGAGAGAGAGAGCATGAGCAGGGGTTGCAGCAGGCAGAGGGAGAAGCAGGCTCCCCGCCGAGCAGGGAGCCCAATGCGGGGCTCGGTCCCAGGACCCTGGGATCATGACCTGAGCCGAAGGCAGACGCTTAACCGACTGAGCCACCCAGGTGCCCCAATTCTAATAAATCTTAATGATAATCATAACCACTGTCTTGATTAAAAACTCTACTGAGAACTGGGAGGTCAATAGCTTCCTTTAGAGAGAAGCTGTCCTCTAAGAACTCATTCCCTTAAACTGAGATGTGGTCTATAGGCTTGAATGAGATAACTAGTATCATGTCTCTAGGAATGTTGGTTATCATCACCTATATCATCAGAAACACTGATAGCATGTACTAAGCCTGGGTACTATTCCACATACTTTACATGTATTACATATTATACACAGTATGTGTTTTACATATATTACCTCATTTATTCTTCATAACAACCTTAAGAAGTAGGGACTACCAGTATCACCTTTTTATAGATGGGGAACTGAGGCACAAAGAAGTTGAATAAGATAACTTATCCAACTCCAATAATAATATTTGTTAAAAAGATTATTAATTGTGTTAAAACAATTAAAAATAACTTCCCAAGGGGCACCTGGGTGTCTCAGTCGTTAAGCATCTGCCTTCGGCTCAGGTCATGATCCCAGGATCCTGGGACTGAGCCCCACATTGGGCTCCCTGCTCGATGGTGGGAAACCTGCTTCTCCCTCTCCCACTCCCCCTGCTTGTGTTCCCTCTCTTGCAGTCTCTCTGTTAAATAAATAAATAAAAACTTAAAAAAAAAAAAGCATAATTTCCCCAAGGTCAGCTACCTTCACAGTAGAGCAGGGATAAAAATCCTGCCAGTCTGACCCACGTTCATGCTCTTAACCACTATGCTACTGAATTACCAGTGGTTGCAAATAACCTGTTAATGTCTTAATTATATTCAAGTCTATAAACAGACTTCCTCAAGTACCAGGTTTATAGAGAGGTTTGAAATTCTTAGATGACAAAGGCCACATGTGCAGAGAGCCAACGCCGCTAATGGATTCTAGATGGAATTTCAACTCAGGGCTCCAGAAGTATATGGTAAAACCTTAAAGGTAGGGTCCAAGTAGAAGTAGTTAGTAGCAGTATAAACTGTCATATGCTTTTTAAACCTCCATATTTGTTATCAATAATAATTGCTCAAAAGACTAACTTTGTCAGAAAACTATGGGTTGTGGCTCTAAAATCAACTGATCAGGGGCCCCTGTATGGCACAGTCAGTTAAGGGTCTGACTCTTGGTTTTAGCTCCAGTCATGATCTGAGGGTTAGGGGATCAAGCCCCGTGTTGGGCTCCAAGCTCAGTAAGGAGTCTGCTAAAGTTTCTCTCTCCCTCTCCTGCTCCCCACATTCTCTCTAAAATAAATAAATAAATCTTAAAAAAAAAAAAAAATCCTGGGTCACCTGGGTGGCTCAGTCGGTTAAGCATCTGCCTTCGGCTCAGGTCATGGTCCCACGGTCCTGGGATCAAGCCCTGCATCAGGCTCCCTGCTCACTGGGGAGTCTGCTCCCTCTCCCTACCCCCCACTTCTTCTCTCTCTCTCTCAAATAAATAAATTAAATCTTTAAAAAAAAATCAACTGATCAATTTTTTTTCTAACAGACTATTTTTCAGAACATTTTAGGTTCACAGTAAATTGTGTGAAAGGTACAAAGATTTCCCATATACCCCTCACCTCCACTTCTGCACAGCCTCCCCATCATAAATATGCCCCACCAGAATGGTTCATTTGTTACAACAGATGAACCTACCCTGACACATCATAATCCCCCAATTCCATAGTCTATACATCATTAGGGTTCACTCTTGGTGGTGTTATACATTCTCAACTGACCAATTTTTAAATTTCAGAATAACATAATGAAATTCTGGAGCTGAGAAAACAAATACACACAGCAAATAAATCAATTTAAAGAAACTTTACCTCTGCTAACCTTGTCCGAAGCTGACCTGGTTGTTTCTTTGCAAATAACCTGATGACCTCCGGGGTTTTAAAGGCCTGGCTGATAGCTGCCTGGATAGCCTAGAATACAAGAAGGTAAAAACCGAGCAAAATATTCCAATGAATCAAATATTATAACTGATTGATGAGTCTTCAATTACAAATAGGTCTTCCTTGTTCGTCAAACACTGTTATAATTTTAGTTCCCACAAAAGCAAAAATGAACTACTGGGACTTCATCAAGATAAAAAGCTGCACAGCAAAGGAAACAATCAATAAAAGTAAAATGCAGCCTACAGAATGGGAGAAGATATTTGCAAATGATATATCTGATTAGGGTTAGTATCCAAAATCCACAAAGAACTTAACAATTCAACACCCAAAAAACAAGTAACCCAGTTAAGAAATGGGCAGAAGACATGAATAGACACTATTCCAAAGAAGACATCCAGATGGCTAACAGACACATGAAAAGATGCTCAACATCACTCATCATCAGGGAAATACAAATCAAAACCATGATGAGATACCGTCTCACACCTGTCAGAATGGCTAAAATTAACAACACAAGAAATAACAGATGTTGGGGACGCCTGGGTGGCTCAGTCGTTAAGCGTCTGCCTTCGGCTCAGGTCATGATCCCAGGGTCCTGGGATTGAGTTCCGCATCGGGCTCCCTGCTAGGCAGGGAGCCTGCTTCTTCCTCAGCCTGCCACTCCCCCTGCTTGTGCTTGCTCTCTGACAAATAAATACATAAAATCTTTAAAAAATAATAATAAAATAAATAAATGCTCTGGTTCTAAGTTCATGCTCTTTACCACTACGCTATGCTGCCTGGAATTAAAGGATAAATGTACCCATTGATAATATTCCTCTCACCAAAAGTGCCATAGAATCCATTTGGAAACATAAAATTTTATAATAGAGATAGTAAAAGTAATAAGAACAAGAAAGGTAACAAGGAATATTTATCGAGGGCTTACTATGTGTCAGATACAGCTGTTATTATTACTTCTCATTTTCCACATAAGGAAACAGGTTAGGGAGCTCGCCCCCAAATCACAGAACTAGTAACCCGTCAGTCAGGAATTGAACTCATATACCCCGATTCCTAGGTCATCTCGGTCTCTTTCTTCATCTTCCTTCCATAAATATGAGGATCGTGAGGCACAGAGGGGTGTAGTGTGTTATACAATACACTAGCCTGATTTAATTCTTTTCAGAGGTGGTCTTTGAAAACTGCAGGTCTTCTAAGTCTCAGCCATGTGCTTCTTCTCCGATGTTCCTTATCAGTGAATGCCACCCCTCTGATCACAGAAGTCCAAGTTTGACACCTGAAATCATTCCTAGTTCCTCTGTGATGTTTGGCACCTTGCAGCCCATGTGTCATTATGGCCCACTGAGTCTGCCACCAAACCCTTTTTGAACCCATACCTTTGGCCTAAGGGATACTGCTTCATGTAGCCATTTAAAGGCCTTCACCAGCTTATCTCAACTTTCTTTGCCAGTATCTCACCACCACAACTGGCCCCACCCAGTACACACTCACTCACACACACACACATACACACACACACACACACCATGAATTGCAATGTAGTCATGCTAAAGCTACATAAAAGCCATGCTTCTTCACACCCATAGCTTTTGCAAACACTGTTCTCTTTGCAGGCAATACTCTTTCCCAACCTTTCCATTTTGTAAACTCCTATACGACCTTTAAAGCCTTCCTTTGGGGGCGCCTGGGTGGCTCAGTTGTTAAGCGTCTGCCTTCGGCTCAGGTCATGATCCCGGGGTCCTGGGATCGAGCCCCACATCGGGCTCTCCACTCAGTGGGAAGACTGCTTCTCCCTCTCCCATCCCCCCTGTTTGTGTTCCCTCTCTCGCTGTGTCTCTCTCTGTCAAATAAATAAATAAAATCTTTAAAATAAATAAATAAATAAAGGCTTCCTTTGTTTTGCCCGGCGGAGTTAGTCACTGCTTCCTTGGTACTTCCATGTCATTTTTATAGTATTTATCACTCTGTGTTGTCATTTCTTATCAAACTATAAATTCTGGGAAGGCGAGAATTCTGTCTTAAATTACTTTGCATCTCTAGTACCTAACACCATGTTGCTTCATACTAAGATTCAATAACTGAAAGCTGAATTATATTGAACTTCTCTCATACAATGTAGCTGACCCTATTAGTCTAACTCCCTCCTACTCAAAGTGGGATCCAACAGTTAAGTCTCTATGTGACTAGTATTTGAATAACATTTCAGAACAAATCTCCTTTGTGTTTAGTGATTATTGACAATAATCTGGAACTTACTTTCCTTTCTCACCCAGCCAATATAACTAAAGTCACTCTTCTAAAATTTGTGGGAGTTCAGAAATATGAAAAATTTTGCAACCAGGTATTATTTATTTAGGTATGCCCAACAGGAAGATACTATGTTAAGGTAAATTTTATTTTCTTGGTATAAAACAGAACAATCTATGAAAAATCAGAGTCATATTGAATATGATAAAGAAAAAATGTAAAGTTCTTTTTCAACAATTACAATAGAAATATAAATACACCAAGTTGAAAGTTTAAAGTGGCCTTGGAACTCCAACTAAATTAATGCATACATAAAAAAACAGAATATATTTCCTTATCAGTTTACAGAAGATAAATGGCAGAAGGAGGTGATAGTGTTTCATATTTAGAGCTGTTAAGGCCCGAAAAATGTTTTTTTAATTAGTTTATGCTCCCAATTCTGGGTGGGAGGATCAAATAGCTACCTATTCATTTTAAAGATGAAAAGAATAAAGCACAGAGGGTTAAATGATTTGCTGAAATTACCCAAACTCCTACCTTCTGGTAGTAAAATAGTAGGAATCATTTATTAGGGCTTACTGCATGATAGACAAAATGCTAAGCATTTATCTGAATTGTCCTAGGCCCCATATCAGTACCATGAAGTAGGTGCTATCCTATTTCCTCAACTGTAATATCTTTTTTTTTTTTTTTACATTTAACATCTCTAAAATGGGTGAATTTGGGGACACCTCGGTGACTTAGTCAGTTAGCTTCTGACTCGATCTCAGTGCCCTGGGATTGAGCCGCATCGGCTCTGTGTTCAGCAAGGAGTCTGCTTGAGATCTTTTCCCTCTCCCTCTGCCTCTGCCCCTAGCACATGCTCTCTCTCTCAAATAAATAAATAACAAATAAAATAAAATGGGTGAATTTTTCAATCACTGTTGTGTCACAGTTTGATTAGCAGCAATTTTACTTCCTTAGTTGTGCACAAAAGAATGGTGGCATCCTAAAGCTAAGAAAATACAGTAGCAGCCCATTTCTGCAGGTGAGCAAACTTGGAGCTTGTCCAAGGTCAAACAGCTAGTTGGTGGCAGGGCCAGGGTTTGAACCCAGGCAGTTTGACTCTAAACTCACCTGCTCACGCTCAACTATCCACGGTACCACCTCAACAGCCGATCTGCACTCACAGAATCTGACTTGTCGGTGTGGTAATGGATGCTCTACATTGGCCCTAGAAGGCAGCAGTCTCTTTGGCTGGCAGGGTCACGGAGAAGAATAATGTATGATGAGTGAATGAAAAATCGAGTTTCCCTTAACAAGTGGCCTTTGATTTCTTTGGGGGTTCCTGCAGGGATACAAAGCATCTATCAGTAGGAAAGTCCTGTGGGAAATGCTCATTCTTCCTAGAGGCTGGAGTTGGGCTGCAGCATCTTCCAGGGGGTGCCATGGGGTCATCCCCCAGTTCTGCATCTCCCTCTTACAAAGGCAGCCAAGTGAGAACTCACCTCTGATGAGATCATCACCTGCTGCTTATTCTATTTCCTAACAGAAAGCCTGATTTTTCCCTAAACTGTGAAAATCCCTCTAAGACCATAGTTAAGTTTCCATTATTGGTTGTATTTAAAAAACAAATTGGCAAGGCTTAAACTTGGCAATAACAAAATGGATATGTATTTTTCATTAATGGGAATTAGAATGAAGTTGTATGCAGGAACTGGAATGTGTCAGCTGCTGAGAGAGAGAAGTAGTTGATTTGGACAGCAGTGTGACTAACTGGGTTTTCTTTTGTAAAGGAGTTAGTTTGTATTGATTCATTTATGTCTGATGTAACTCAGTAGCCCTCCCCCTGCCTGCGGGAAGCCTGCCTGGACTAGTAAGTGATAAGGAGCTGGCAGAGCACCTCAGCTCTTTGGGGCGATGGGTACCTCTCAGCTGAATCAAGTGTGCAGGGCAGGCGTGACCAGATCACCCTCGTGGGTGTCCATTCCCTGCTTAGACACAGGCCAACCCTGTGAACCATTCCTGCTGGCTGGGATATGAAAGCTCTAACACCAGGGTTGCCCTAAAAAATCACTAGAGAGAGCCCAGACTCTGAGCTACTCTGAGCGACAAAGTTTGTACTTCCTTGATTCAGTAAACCAAACAAAATAGGGACCCGTCCTATTTCTCATGCAGGGAAAAGCTCACTCCCCCTCTGGATTCAGGCCTTTACTATCATTCCTATCTCAGGTGGAATAATCTCTCTAGTGAACTTGGCGCTAGAGTTAATGGATGAAACAAAACAAAACAAAAAACACCAAAAAACATGCAGGCAAAGCATCCAGGACAAATTTTAGCATGGATAGTACTTTTCAGAGAGAATTAGAAGGGATGAATTTCAGATATGGTTTTGCAACTAATTAGCTAACTGTCTTTGGTCAAGTGACTAAACTTCTCTGGGCCTGTGTTTATTTGTGACATTTCCTATATAAAATGACACCAGTAAATTTATCATCCCTAGAGCCTATGCAGAGTCATTTCTCCCAAGAGACTAACAGTTTGCACTAAGTTATCCACACTCTTTTGCCCAGAAACCTCTGTCTTAAATACACACTAATACCAATACATGGACAGCAGTGAATTTCTACAGCCATGAAAAGCATTTATTTTAAAAAAGAATAAATTAATTTAAAAAAAAAAAACAGGCTCAGAGAAATTGGGTAAAGTAGCACATTAAGTAGTGGGAGTGAGATGTAAAAGAAGAATGGAAACCCTGTTTGGGAATCCCTTGGAATTTGTAGAGAAATATGG